CCTTCAGAACCTTGCCTGCCTTCCCCTTGCCCATGAACTGCAGAAGACAGAGTAGAAGCGCCTTTGTGAATTTCTGAGGCTGTAAATATTGACAGAAGCAGAAAGCCTCATCTTTCTTCCTCGTTTCGAATGGTTGACCTTTCTTCTAGCAGCTCAAGGCTCAAAGCACTACACCACCAGGGCTAGGTGTGTTAAATCACAGTAGACGATACTTTAGGCAGTTTCGCCTCCATTATTTAGTCATTGAGCATTTATAATTTTGGTGCTAGGCTTTGCTTGGATGTTTACATGCTTTTATGCTAGGACGTCTCCTGACATGGTCTTTTCAGCAGTCTTTCCTACCAGTGCTTTCTCTGGTACAAGTTGTACCAGGTCTGGGACTGTGTGTTATTGTGACTTGGTTTTTAACTTTATTCTTAGATTTTTCTTTAGGAAGGGGAGTCCATAGTATGCCTTTAGGATGGTGTAAGTGCTCAAGACAGGGCTGGCCAACTCTGTACTTGGAGCTGAATGGGTCTTTGAAAGACAACGGAGGAAAAGGCTGCTCCTTCCACTGGCCGTTTTTGCCTCTGAGAGCCTGAGCAGGGAGATCTGTCCCCAGACATCCAGTTTCATTAAAAACGCAGTCTCCCTCCCTCAAAGGGCACCGCTGCTTTATTATCAGAAGCTGTGAGTTATTGTTCTCAGAGCAGATGCTTCCTGTAGCGCTAGGTCTTAAGGATCAAGACATTTCTCCTCCTTGTATTCACATCCTTTGCTTTATCAGGCTTCTCCAGTTGTAACAATATGTGGATAAATGCAGACCTTTACACGAGAGCAGCCTGGTTTATCACAGGGCTCGAGGTTTTTCTTTTCTTTTCTCTGCTACATAAGCACACACGTTAGCTCTGATTTTTCATCCATTGCTCCTGAGGGCATCCAAGAAACGGTTGTGTCTAAGAAAGATGTATTTTCTCCTCGGGCTGGTTAAGGAGAAACCCTGTTCCAGGGTGGCTTATTTGCAGCCTTCTAAGGCTTGTCTCTAGAAATCTCTGGGCAGGGTTTGTTTCTGCCTTAACTTGTGTTGGAGATAGTCATAGCTAAAGTTTTCCAGCTGCAGGTCGATGGTTCAACTCCACTAACCACTCCTCAGGAGAATAACCTGCAATCTGCTTCCAGAAAGATTATAGCCTTAGAAACTCTATGGAGCCAGACAGGTTTACTCTGGGCTATGGAAGCCCTGGTGGTGCTTGACAAGTTGGACTGCTGACCACAAAGTCAGCAATTTGAAACCATCTGTCACTCCAAGGGAGAAAGTGAGGCTTTCTACTCCTGGAGAGCCACAGGGACAGTTATTTGAAATTAATCCTGTAGGCCCACTATGAGTTGATGGCAGTGAGTTTGGTTTTGATTTTGAATGTTGAGTCACTATGAGGTGGAATTCGACTTGATAGCAGTGGATTACTCTTTTTTTTCTTTCTTAAAGTTGTGGATGATTTCATTTTACTTGGATTTATATTCAACACCCCTGGAAGTAGGGTCAAGAAATCAAATGATGCATTACATTGGACAAATCTGCTGTAAATGATCTCTTTAAAGTATTTTTTTTTAAACTGCCCTCCCCCTAAAAATAATTTTACTGGGGGCTCTTACAAATCTTATAATAACTCATCCCATGGATTGCTCTTGAGACCAGCAGTATTAATTG